AGGGGTCCCACAACAACCTCAGCTAATTTCCTCAGCACTCGGGGGTGGAGATCGTCCGGACCAGCTGATTTAAATACGTCCCATCCCTCCAGATGTTCCCTGACTAGATCCTCCCTGACCCTTGGCCTGGGTGCGCCTCCCCTGGGGCCTGAGGGGGTCCTGGTGTGGGGGCTGATTTGGTCCCTGTTCAGGAAAATGGAGGCAAAGAAGTCGTTAAATAGGTTAGCTTTGTCATCTGGTGTGACAACCAGATTTCCTAGCGTATTCTTTGGATTTCTTTTCCCCACAGGCTTCAACTTCTTCCTAGGGCTTTTGGCTGTGAGCTTGTGATTGGATCCACGTGCTGACTCGTGCATCTGCTGAAGAGCACCGCTGGTCCATCTGCGTGCATCATGGCCGGATACAGGGCTTTTCAAAGTATGTTTGGAGAGATACTGGTAAGGCAGAAGGACTTTCTTGCTGGCTAATGGCACAGGGAGGCTGCGTTCCCAGGCAGCGTAGCCTATTAACTCTCTTGTTGCTCCATGAGGAGCAGAGAGGTGGGATTTTCAAAGGAGCCTAATGTGTTCACGTGCCCAACTCCCCTTGCGAAATTCATGGGGAGTTAGGCACTGAGCTCCATCCGCCCCTTTGGGAATCCCAGCCACTCCAGGAGTCTTTCACATTTCTACAAGCTACACAAACTGAAGTCGAGCCAAGCAACTTAAACATGCATTCAGCACAGGGACTTTCTCAGTGAAGGTGGGCGAGCTGGCCTGTCCGTGCCAGTCAGCCGCGTGCCCTCAGGACGGTAGCTGTGCAGAAAGGACAGATGATGAGGCATGCAACCAGGGGAGACGTGTGACAACCGTAAAGCCACTTACCTCATTTGTGCTTCCCTGTGGCAAAGGCAGTGGGAAAAGGAAAAAATAGCATCCGTGTGTATCATGCGCTTTCTCGGTAACGTTACAGCATGCAACTTCATGTACACCGCCTTTCTCTGAAGGGTAACACTCCCCAGCTCCCTCTATCCATTAAGCCTTTCCCTTCCAGAGAGTCCTCAAATCATGCTCCCTGGGGTATCAGTGCTTCCCGAAGGGCTTTGGGTCCCGTGCCCTCCTTAAGGCGGTTGTACTGCTCTGTATCCCTATCATGCCACGTTCTGGATAATAAAGAAAGCATCACTTTACAACCATGTTGGAACCTCACCAGCAGCCCCAGAGGGATTGTAGCGTTCCCTTTCCCACGCAGGTCTCTCTTTTCCCTCTTCCTGCATTCCCATGCCCTCCTTGCATGTGCCCTCTAGTTCGCCGCATCCCTGCAGGGGTGCTTGTAGCCCAGTTGGAGAGACCGCCCTAGAAACATGGCTCCAAGACCTCAAGTCATACTCCACGGGCTGAGACCTGGTCCACACTACAGACACAAGTCTGCTACAACTTGGTTTTCCCCCATCACAGATGTTTCTAATTTGGACCTTACCGAGATCTCGCATCTGCCCTGAGCTTTGACTCCAAATAGAGGCGGGCAGTGGTTGAGCCGTGCTTTGTTTCCCAAACCAACGGGCCTTTCCTGTCCAAGGTCTGTGACCTTGGTGCAGAAGCTCTGCCGGAGGCTGTGAGCTCTTTGGGGCAGGGACTGTGGGGTCAGCCCACCGAGAGCAAAGCCTCCAAGATCCAGCAGGCTGGGATGGGAATGACAGAATCCCATGCCCACCCGACAGCAAAGGCAACGGCTTGTTGCCGAAGGGTTTAGAGGATGGAAGAGTGGCAATACAGATTTTTTTTTTTACACCTGCAAATGCTGTCTGCCTGCAACATAGCCGGCGAGGGGATGCAGCGACTTCCAACTTCAGCAGCTGGGGGCAGCAGCTACAAGAATGCTCCCGCCTTGGAGGAAGGAGCCCGTCTCAGCCCTGAATCCAGCAGAGCAGGGAGGTGAACCTGGATCTGCCACATCCCAGCAGTGTCTCAGTCCCTATCTGCTGTGGCTTGTTTGCCTCCCTCCCCCCCGTCTCCACTCTGACCAGAAATGCCAGGGTGGCCTGAGAAATCTTTCCAATGAGGGATGACTCAAAACATCCCCTGGAGAGGTTTGGGTTTCAGCTAACTCTTCCCCCTGCCATTCGTTTTGTTAGGAATTGTCCACCCAGCCAGCTGCATCATGAGCCTTGCCTTAGGACTCAGGGTTGCACAACCCAGAGAGTCTGGACAGGGGATGTTTTTGCCCATCCAGCTCAGGGAAGAGGTATGTTAAACCTTGTCATTCTCGTATCCATTTTCTTTGCTAAGTGAGCAAAGGGAGAGGGGAGTTCTGCTCGGGGCCCCCGTCCTGGCCACCAGCATCTTCCCCGACACCCCGCTCAGTCACGTCGGCTGCACGGTTCTGTCCCCCCACACACAGGCAGATCCTGCGGGTGCAAGGTCTACAGGAACGGCTTGGAAGGGGCTGAAATTCAGGAGACACCGGCAGAGGTCCCTGTCTGGATCAGAGGTGGCCAAACTTCCAGCACACTGCTAGCCACAATCCCGGACCTTGAAACAGCCAAGAGCAACAGGATGCGCAAGGCTGCAGACCCACAGGCCCCGGAGCCGGTGCTTCACACCCAGGGCGCAGTCCATGAAACGGTTTTATCATGATTTCCTAGAATAACTAATGTGAGGGAACAGAAGAAACTCAAGAGTAGCAAGTAAATGAACGGAGAGCAAGGAAAAAACTGTTTGCCTTTATTGAACTATTTCCTTTGCTTCAGGAGCTACGTCTGCACTGCCCAGGAGCTGCACGCAGCTCGGTTTGGCCACCTCTGCTCTAGATGTTTTGGGTCTGGTTAAGCTACGCCCCAGTCTTGCAGCTGACTCTGGCGGGGACAACTCAGCAACCTCAGATGTTGCATCTAAAGGCTGTTTCCAAGGAGAGAAGCCCCAAGATAATCAAGGTCAGAGAACGTATATCGGTATCAGAAGTGATTTCTCCTACCTGGTCCCACAAGGCTGCAGCCACTTGGTCTATTACTGCTCCCAGCTCTCTGTACTCCCCAGAGTATCTGATATATGCCCAGGAACACAGTGTGATCAGGGTCAGCCCCATTATCATGTTGCATAGACTAGCTATGATGTCCAACCCAATGAATCCGGTCACACCGGCGATCACATAGGTGATGAAAATGACCACAAACAATGTTGCAGGGGTACGTGCAGCGTGGAAGATGTTCTTGCTGTCGTTGTGCTTGATGTACTGTATGTAGAGCTCATCTATCTCATTCTCCAGCTGCTGGAGGTAACGGCGACTGAATTCCTCCCCACCCATCTTCTTCACTCCACGGAACAGCTTCACTGCTTCCTCTTTGAGCTCCAGGTGTTTGCTCTGGAGATCGCTGGGTGCAAGAAAAGGCCGGTCACCCCCACAGACCTGGAGGGAGAGAAGAGCTGCTTACTCAAAACACGTGTCGGACCGATCACGGTGCATCCTGGGTCTGGGACTGTGCCCCACCCCCCCAGGAACTGGAACTGGCTGGTGATTTTTACCACCTGACTGCTGGATACCACAGATTTGTTGTTTGAAAGAGGCCCTGAAAGCATGTTTGGGATTTTTGACATTTAGCATTTTAGTTGCCTGAGAAACCTGCATCTAAATTCCTCCCAAGTTTCATTGAGAAGTTTGGATCAGTAAATCATTCCCAGGTAGAGGCGTCACCATAAGCTGCCTCGTAAAGGCAGGTCCTCTGCCATCTAGTCACTTGGGAAATGTGTTTGATCTCAGCAAAAATACCAGTGTTGGTCTTACCTCTTCCATCCTCTTGTTGTAGGTGTCCTTGGCAGTGGCAACTGCTGCTAAATTGTTAGCTTCTGCTGTGGCCTGCGAGGGAGGCAGAAAGCAAGGTTTAGATCAGGTCTCGTCAAGAGCTGCCTGCCTGTGTGCAAGGGTACACACCATGCATATCCTTGCTCTCTGAAGTGTGCACGCGTGCAAAAATTAAGCAGCTCTCTAGTTTTCACAAAATGCTCTCCCCTCTGCACCCCCATGGCAGCTCTCTACCAGCCCCTTTGCCTTTTCTCTCCTTTGATAAGAGGAGCCCTACCCCATCTGTGTTCTCAGCGGGGGCAGATGAACAAGCAGCAATAGTCTTAAGTTGCAGGAAGGGAGGTTGAGGTTGGATATTAGGAAAAACTTTCTCACTAGCAGGGTGGTGAAGCACTTGAGCAGGTTACCAAGGGAGGTGGTGGCATCTCCATCCTTGGATGTTTTTAAGGCCTGGCTAGACAAAGCTTTAGCTGGGATGATGTAGTGGGGGCTGGTCCTGCTTGGAGCAGGGCGTTGGACTAGATGTGACCTCCTGAGGTCCCGTCCCACCCCCATTTTCTATGATTCTGTGATCTCCCTTTGGGGTGTAGGTGCAAGCACTGGCAAACTCCAGAGTCCAAGAGGATCCCACATCTAACCACCACACGTTGCAAAAGCAGCTCAGCTGACACCAACGGCCACTGCTGCACAGGGAAAGAGGAGTGACATCTCAAGAAGCCAGGACCCAAACCTGGGACTGATGGGAGCACCTGGAAGCCATTCCTATGTGAACCCATGTGTGGAGAACATGATGGTGGGAAGCATGCTGTCACAGGCCCTTCTGCAAACAGCTTCCACTGCTGTCTCATGAAGAACAGTCCTGGATGACTACGTCACTTTTTAAAATGGGAATTGGGCTCCCAGGCTACACGAGTGCTTTTGAAAACGCTCCCGGATGCAACTGTAAAAGATTTGTATGTGGTTGTTCCTTGGAGTGTCGTGTTGGGACATCTAGAGCAACCTGAAACCTTCCATTAGCCTAACTGAAAAGCAGTGCCAAGCACTCTGTGCATCATGCCAGCCAACAGCACGCAGCATAAATACCTGCAACATCGACTTTGGATGTGGCAATTCTTCTCCTTGATAAATCTTTATATACGCCTAGGAAAGAGCAAAGAAAAGCGTCTGTTTGCACATAACACTGTCTTTACCCAAGGCACTTGCACACATGCCCCTCTTTCATGTACTCACCCATGGCGAGGTTTTAAAAGGCACAAATGGGATACAGGGACCCAGCTCAACTTGGCTCCCAGCAAGAAATGTTCCGTCCTGAGCTGAGCGGGAGCAACTTGGACTTGATTTCATGTGTGACGTTGGGCAAGTCTGTCAGTCTCTCTGGGTAGGTCTACTCTGATATTTACGGTCACCCCGAGGGTAGTTCTTAACCAACCCAAGCCGTGTGGGCTACCCTTTCCTAATTATACCTTGCTTTGTGGCCCAAACCACTGTACCTCAAGCAGAGCCTTTCTGGGAATTGTCTTGCCTATCACTTTGTCTCTTTTTCTGTGCACAGCTGTAATTATGGGCAGTAGAGACAGCAGACGGAGTGCAGAAGGGCCATCAATCAGAAACATGGAATTATGGGATTTCTGCTGGCTGACTTCTTGTGCTCAAGACCTACACACCCAAACGCACCATAAGGAGGGGTAGGAGAGGTGGGGAATGAGGGCAGGGTTCACCTCCGGGTCGATCCTGAAGCTCCACAGCTTCCATGTCCAGCTGGACCGAGAGCAGAGGGACAAGTTTAAGGGGTTGCAATCTAAGTCAGTCAGCGGACATGGGCTTGAGGATGACCTTTGGGCTGACCCCAAGCACCAGTGTAGACACCCCCTCTTTGCCTCAGTTCCCCCTCTGCCCAGTGAGGTTAGCTGGGATGTGCGTGGATGAATATACCCCAGAACTGAGGCACATGGAGCCCATGATAATGGAGCCTCGTAAGGACCTGAAATGAGGGCACGTATCCTCTCCAGACAGCGTATCCTGGTCCACCCTATGTCATGTCTCATTTTGAAGAGGGGGAGAAAGTGCACGCTGCTCCACCTGAGTCCCTGAAACGTCGCATAGCTCAGGAGACCGTAC